CATTACAATGCGTGCATCATATTTTTCAGCGACTTTACCTATTTCAACATTGATTGGCAAGATCAAGCAGCTTTGTCAGGAACATGCACGGAAGCAAAAGATTTTATCACCATCATCATATCAGCCTGACTACGTCCACTGCAGGACAAAGGCCTCGCCCATGCTCCGCCAGTTAACCCGGTCCTGTGCATGCTGCTGCCAATTTATACCCGCAAACTTCTTAATTTCATCTGCCCACCTATCCTTCTGTCTCCCCCTAACCCGCTTGCCTTCTCTGGGAATCCAGTTAGTTACCCTTAACGACCAGCGGTTATCCTATCCACGCGCTACATGCCCAGCCCATGTCCATTTCTTCTTGATTTCAGCTATGATATCCTTAACCCCAGTTTGTTCCCTAATCCACTCTGCTTTTTTTCTTGTCTCTTAAGGTTACACCTACCATTTTTCCTTCCATTGCTCACTGCGTCGTCCTCAATTTAAGCTGAACCCTCTTTGTAAGTCTCCAGGTTTCTGCTCCGTAGCTAAGTACTGGCAAGATACAGCTGTTATATACCTTTCTCTTGAGGGATAGTGGCAATCTACCAGCCATAATTTGAGAGTGCTTGCCAAATGTGCTCCACCCCATTCTTATTCTTCTAGTTACGTCAATCTCGTGGTTCGTCTCCGCGGTTATTACCTGCCCTAAGTAGACAGTCTTTTACAACTTGAAGTGCACTGAAGAAGAATGGCGATTTGGGCTAGTTGGTTGGAATTCATGATAATAAGGGTTGCAGCGCGAGCACGAATGTGCTAGAAGAAACAGACGAAAGTCGAGGTACGGAAGGCAAAGAGGACAACACGAGCGCTGACTACCAACTGTGAATACCAACTGCGAAAGCGAATAATAAAATTCAGTTGGTAGTCAGCGCTCGCGTTGTCCTCTTTGCCTTCCGTACCTCGACTTTCGTCTGTTTCTTCTAGCACATTCGTGCTCGCGCTGCAACCCTTATTATCTTGCAGTGCACTATTACCTATCTCGAAGCGCTGCTCTTTTCCGAGGTTGTTGTAAATTACTTTCGTTTTCTGCAGATTCATTTTAAGACCCACCTTTCCGCTCTCCTTGTCTAACTCCATAATCATGAGTTGCGAATTCGTCCCTCGAGTTACTCAGCAATGCAATGTCATCGGCGCAGCGCAAAGATTTCATCAATGTCTGCCTAAACTTCAACATCACACAGCTGGTGTTGGAGTCAACTCGTGTCACAAATAGTTCAGTGAACATATTAGACTTGATATTAACAACTCATCCTGAAAGCTTATCTTCACTTGAATACATGCATGAAATCAGCAATCATAAGGTTATACACTCGGTCTTCAGTTTTAGTTTTGCCCAGCCCAATTCAATCGAAGACTATCAGTCTGTATGATAAAGGGAGCTACGAGGCAATCGACAACGAGCTTCAGGGCTTTTTACCAGGCTTTGAAGCTCGTCTTTCAAGTAGATCAGTGGAAGACCACCGGACAATTTTCAAAAACAAAATAGTGGAGTTAGGAAGAAAGCTTATACCTAGAACTTAATTACGCGTGCCTTCCCGAAAACCATGGTTCTCAAAAGCCTTGAAAAAAAAAAAAAAAAACAGCTACTTAGGGCTGCCAAGTTAAAACACAGTGCTCCTGATTAGAAAAAATACCATGCGGCTGAAAAGGCATATTTGCTCGCCTTACGCAGCACTAAGCACTCGTTTTTTCACACGGACCCTTACTCGAGATACTAATAACCCCAGGAAATTTTGAAAATAATTCATCCGCAGGAAACGCACAGCATTACACTGAAAACTAAAGTGGGTGACGATATTGATAATTTTGAAAGCACTGACTTCCTCTGTTCACTCACGAAACCGCTATGCCATTCCCTGTGTTACCGAATTGTGTCCTGTCTTTATGTCACGCATAACAGTAATCCCTGAAAGTATAATGTCTGTCATTGAAAAACTGAAATGGTCTTCTTTGGCAGGTGTGGAGGGAATTAATTATAAAATTCTCAAGAACAATAAATGCATTTCTTCAGTGATTCTGCCGCTGATATTCTCACAATCACTTGACACCGGCCATTTACCAGCCGACTTGAGGATGGGGAAGGTCACTCCGTTCTTCAAATCAGGTAACAAAGACAGCCCTCTAAACTATCGCCTCATTTCTTCAAAAAGCATACCGTGCAAAATCGTGGAGCACGGTCATCCTTACACAAGTCATTCATTTTCTTGTCAATAATAACTTCTTTCACACTGCAAAGCATGAGTTTCGGAAGGGTTATTTTTGTGAAATCCAACTAGCCCTCTTTGTTCAAGATTTGCATGCCAGTCTTGACGCTGATCTGCAAACGGATGCAATATTCTTAGGTTTCTCTAAAGCATTCGATACCATGCCTCATAGGCAGGTCCTAATGAAACTTAGATTTTTAAATATACATCTTGACATAGCAAATTGGATTAAGGAATTTCTAACTAACCGCTCCCAATTTGTCTTTATCGATAAAGTACACTCTAGCCCTTTTTCAGTAGTGTCAGGTGTCCCCCAAGACTCCATTCTCGGGCTCCTTCTCTATTCTCTTCCCGATTTACACAAATGACATAGCTTCATGTGTCCCCTCCTGTATATGTTTGTTCGCCGACGACTGCGTAATATACAGCCCAATCACCAATTTTGTTGATCAAACCGCTGTCCAATATGCTTCGATCGATTTCGGTTTTAAATAAACTTAGGTCCCTGGTTCCAAACTGGTTAAAGCTCCAGCTATATTATTCTTTGGTTCATTCCCATCTACATTACTGTCTTATTTGGGGTCCAAATTCAAAAACCAATCTTGACAGGCAGTTAGTTTTACAAAAAAGGTCTGTACGCTACATAGAAAATCTGCAACCTAGAGAACATACTCCTCCATTTTTTGGCAAGCCTCAGATACTTACTGTCTACCAATTATACAATCTTACACTCAGCTTATATGTCATTAATGAAATAGGAAACATCGTTAGCACTTATATGAAGCATTGCTACTCAAGCGATACTCCCTATGAACTACGCTTTGATCGTTTTCGATTGCCTTTTTTCAGAACAACACATGGTAAGCAAACTTTATCATATCAAATACCTTATCTACTCCACGAAAATAGCTATGTCCGTGAACTTTTGAAAGAACATAACACTAAAAACAGTGTGAAGAAAAAAGTTAACATGTACTTCCTTCCTTGTAAGGAGCCTTAATTGTATTATTTAATACAAATATTTCTTTTGTGTTGTTCGTGCTTTTCCATATTAGATGACAATTGCTCAATTTCTTTCTTTTCAAATGTATTTATCTATGGTACTTAGTAATTCTGTCAGAAATTTCTCTTTGTTGCATTTTTATATATATATATATATATTATATTGGTACTGCAAATTGGTGATGACTGTAATGAGTTATATCAACGTGTGTCGACATCTGTTATACTTGTTGAATTTGAATTTTGTGTGCACTCATTCAAAAGCAGAATGAAATTTGTATCCTTTGTTCCACTTCACCTGAGCAAATGTATGGGTGGAGGGACCTTAGTCAGGCAGAGGTAATCTGCCTTTAGTCCCTTCAACCTAGGCAATCATTGTTTTTGTCTGAATAAACAGTGAATGAATGAATGAATGAATAAACCACGTTCAAGAATGGTGTGACTTGTGGATGATGAAACTATATCCCAACAAATGCAAGACCGTTTCATTTCACCGCTGCCACAGCCCCTTTCTGTTCCCTTATGTAATTGCTAGCGTTACCCTCAAACACGTGCAGTCATACAAGTATCTTGGTGTCACCATATGTAATGATATGAACTGGTGCACACACATTACTAACATTATATCATCAGCGAACAAATCCCTGGGTTTCCTGAAACATCACCTCCGGCACGCACCTAAAGATGTTAAGCTACAGGCCTACAAGTCCTTTATCCAGTTCAAATTGGAATACCCATCTGCAGTCTGGAGCCCACACTAAGCCTATTTGATCGACTCACTCGAGGCAATTCAAAGCTGTGCCATCAGATTTATTCATTCTTCGTACTTGTACAATACCAGCACAAAAAAGAATCGTCTATTTCAAGCCTTGACATCCACCGCCGCATCTTTAGTCTCAGCCTTTTTCATAAGTCAAGTTTTTTCACAGCATGCTTCATCATCCATACATCGTTCCATCAACCCGCATGTGTCACCGCACATGTCATTCACTTCAAGTTGGCCGGCCATAGATTAAGACTACCACCTTTTCTATGTCTTTCTTTGTATGGATAGCAAAAGACTGGAATGACCTTCCCTATGATGTCAACATTGAATGCCCATCATCATTTTTTGATCGATTATGTGCCCATTTTTTTTTAAATAAAAATTTGTGGCAATAAAAATTTTTCATATATTGACTCACCTTTTATGTAATACCCCCTGGAGGGGTTTTTAAAGTAAATAAAGTCATGTTATAAAGTTAAAAGACATCTTGGAGACACACACGTGGCTATCAGTGAGAATTGCCTTAACTATGTGCCATGAGACGCTTAGAACGAGCTATCAGCAGCATTTCTGGAACAGACAGTGTCCACTGATGGATCGCCAACACACTTTGTCGCTAACGATTGGCCTAGATGCCATGAGCCTTTGCTGAGCTGGCATTTTACCACTAAGAGGACTTGCAGAACAGGAGGCGTGTAGCACCGTGGCTTCTCGGGAAACATGCGCAAGTGCTGTTTATCCAGTGGAAAAACTTAGTCTGAGGTTGCGACAGTGCTGGCCCCCGAGATCAAGCTGGACATGTTTACACAGACCGTTGGCATGTCTGCCAGTGATAGACACCCCAAATTTGGCACTCTGGTGAGGTGTGACCAAATTTTTGTTGATATTCTCGAATGCATCAGGAGTGGAATTACTGCAGTGTCATTTGCGACTACACTCTCCTGTGTAAGTAAAGGGTTTAAACTTTGGAAGTCTAAACATAGCACACTGACCTGTTGCGCAACGTGCTGCCCGATTCAGGGCGTGTCATGACATCCTTAAGTGGTGGCAGCACCTGCAGCATAAAAAAATACATCTTGTTGCCTTTCAATCGCTCTATACAATGCAGGAAGAGCACAGAATGTTGTTTAATAAGAATCAAAGTGAATGCGGAGGCCTAAAGGTTTCCTGCGTCAAAATGTCACATAATGATGATTATCACTGTTCAGTGTTGGTAAGCAAGGTGTGCATTTCAAGAAGGAGAACATCACTGATGCTGAGTCAGTAGAGATCCTGCTCCATTCAGTAGAACGCATAAACACGTGCTGTTGATTTAAGAGAAGTAGACTGCAAGAAAATTACCAAAAGTTGACTCAGGCAAATAACAGAGTGCATGGAAGCAGCGTACAAAGCAAAACCTGTCCTGGGGTATGAAAGGCCTTGCATTAAATGCAGACACCTGAGAAAACTGCTGTTGAATTGAGCATCGTACAAGAGAAGAAAAGCGAGAGGAACTGCTGCATTTAGCAGCACAAAAAAAGGTGGAGAAACATGCCCATGCAGCAGTTACGCCGTGCTGAGGCAAAAGCGGGTTGCTTAAAGGGAGATCTCGTTAGGATGAAAGACTATACAGTCAAACCTCGTTAGTGCACACCCACTTTAAGCATACTAACGGTTAAAACGTAGTTGCAACGAATCCCTGACCGAGTCTCATAGAGACTAATGCATTCGCGGACTGCTTAAGCCATAATGTTCAGCTTATGCCTACCGGTTAGTGCGTACTAACTACGTTAACATTTACTGCTACAAAATTTTACTGCTTCACTGAACTTTGCAGACGCCACAATGAACCGTGAATGATTTTCCGTCATGTTGATAAGTGTGGAGATCTGCCGATAAGTTATTTTGACTTCCACGTGATTGCGACGATGACAATGCGAGTAACCATCGGGGAGAAAAACTAAGGCGAGGTGGCTACCAGCAACAAACGTGCAGGTATGACTTATCGCCCGTGAAAAGCCGTATCACAGTAAACATCCCTGGTTATCTGCTCAGGCATGGGTATGGCGTACCGTCACTTTAGGCCTACTGCACACTTTTAGTAGGTGACTACCTGAACGTGCTGGGCCGCTGATCACTGCTGCTTCGTTTTACGGAACTGTGTTGAAGCACGCATCGCTTTACAGAGACATAAGCAGCCCAATGTCGCGGAGTTTAGGGTTGCAGATCACGGGCACCAAAAAAACTTGCTGTATTATGTCAATATGCGCACCCTACATCGAGCCTGGCACTGTTGTTACCACGCTGCACGCTTTTATTTAGTGACAACCCAAATGCACCTCCGTCCGCTGCCAGAACTGCTAGAACATATTGGAGAGCACATTGCTTGCGAAAAACTTTTCGTCGCGGCGTTACCTCAGCAGGCTACCCGCCGAATCTGTGCATGGCCTGAAGCGGAGAGGGTGTTCTTGACAGCAAAGGGATCGGCAGTCATGGTGTGCACAGAGTAGAGCGAAGCGCTACTCGCAACTAGCCACGCAATAAAAGGTTTGGCTCTTTGCGGCTGTACCGCATTTAAAAAAAAGATAACTGCGTTTTCCCTTTAAAGCAGACCGCAGAACAACCGTACCACGGACAGCCGATTGTGTTCTGTCGCTGTACCATGCTGCATATCGCAGATCCCGCAGCAGTTTCGAAATGCTCATCTGCGCCGCCACTGCGTGCTATCAGGCGGTTGTGCGAGAGTCAGAAACTTTTCTGTACTTTGGCTGAAGGAAAAAAAATGGCTTCGCGTTGAGCGTTTCAGCAATATTTCCAGTGGCACCGAGTTTCTTCTTTTGTTGGCGGCGATGGCGCATGCCAGGGGATGCAAATTTGTAGCTGGTGGTTAATGCGTAGTACGTTTAGTGCGTAGTTACGCAGTCGTCTCCAGCAGGTACGTATTAACGGGATTTCGCTGTAAAATGCTGCCATTTCATCATGAAAAGTTGAAAGGAAATCTCCATAGACTACCTCAAAAGCAGCAGCAGCAAAAGCGAGCATGATTCAAAGGATCCAAAAATGTGTTTAAAAAAAAAGGCTAATTGTGTAGGCACATGTGTTACCCTTGCATATCTGATCAAAAATAGGTGAATCCGTCATGGTGAATCAGTGGCGAGGACATTGATCTGCTGTATTGAAGATGAGTGAATGAGGATGAGGTCATGGTCATCCACCCATGTGAGATGGAGGGAGGCGGGGCTATGACAGCAAAGCCTTCTGAAGAGAGAACCGGTGCACATATGACTTATACGCTTGGTAAGTTCGCCAATCATGCCTGCTATCGGTAACCTACCTGCTGATGTGATGTGAAAGTGGTATAGATACTAGTACTATTGTAGCTTTCTTTTGCATTAAAGACGTGGTTTGCCAACTGTGAACAACGGCAGCACACGTAGCAGCCACACTCGCATCAGAGAAACGATCTAAGAACAACTGCAGAGCTACCACCACTGGCATTACTGCCTGCGTCGCTCTGAGGCAGTCGATACTCTCACCTGCCTTTCTAGAATCGTGCACTGCATTTCTAGCTACCATAACCACTCTAATCATAATGAAGGCATCTTACATGAACGTGTGCTTTATCACCATTACGTGATGGCAATGATACTGCGTCTGATATTAAACGCAAAGCATTTCTTTGGATACTGTGTATATCTATATATCCATGCGTACGTCCATCGGTTTGTCCATCTGTCTGGCCGTCTATGGGTGCTCTCGTGATGACCCCTTTAAATTGGGGTAAACCGAATTTAGAGTGAGAGAGCAAGGTGGTTAAAAGAATATAACTCACTGGTCCTGACATGAATAATATCACAAACGCATCGCATATGCTGTCAAACCCTTTTTGCCAGACGGTGCCACATACCTGCAGAAGGGTTATGTGCCACAGGTATGCGGGTATGTGCCACAGGTGATTGACAGTTTATACCTACACAGAAACACCGAGAAAATACATGGGTGAGAGTTAAGAAAAAGCTGACATTGGCAGCGTTGACCCGATGAATGCAAAGAATAAATGTCAGGGTCCCAGCAGGAATCAAACCTCAGCATTCCGCATGGCAATCAAGTATTCTATCATAGAGCCACGCCAAGTTTTAGAACTACTTTTCAAATAGACCCTAGTGTTCGTGAAACATTATTTGTGGTTGCAGTGCTGGCTATCAAATTTTATAAACATTACATATGGTATGTATTCCTATGATACAACTGTCACGTCGTGTTATTGCCAGTTAGGCACCATCCACTCATGTTGATTTATGCAGCAGTGTCCATGGCTACCATGCTTGCGAGCACCAGCATTTCATATAAACTTGCCAATTATGGTGTTGCTAATATCCATGCTGCTGTTGGCATTGTTACATAACTGTGAAGAGCTGGTGTTATAAAAGATATGTGTCCATTTAACGTGTGTGTGTATGCATATGTACTTATCTTTAGCGCCACTTCGTAACGTATTGCTAAAAAAACAAAAACAACTCAGTCAACTTCTATGCGCACACTTTGCATAATATTGATTCCCAAGGCATGAGGAATCTGCAGAATTTTTCTGATAGGAGGCTGTTTGCCAATGTGGTTTTGATGTCGCTTGCATGCACAGGCGATTCGGACCTGGGCTCGAACCTGGGTGCCCTGCATGCCAGCCCTGTATTATACCACAGAGCCACGCCACTGCTTGGAGCTCTGCTGCAAACTAGCTTTAGGAGGGCTTGATGTCTGGAGAGGAATCATAATATTAAGAGTAATAAAGCATTTTATAACAGCAAAAAAAAAAACGAGGTGTCACACAATGTGAATTGCGTAATGAGTGGGTCTTCGAATTCTCCAACCCATTACAAAAGCTTCAGACATAATTTTTCATCATTGTCAGCCACAGCATAAAAAATTGCACAAAATTCCTTGCAAGACTGTAGTGGGTACCACACTTCTTCAAAGAATGAAAAGGATGGCATATCGAATGCCTGCTTACTACAGAAAAGTGGTGATGATTTATGGTGTAGTTGGTACCCTGCAAGTGCACTTGTAGTAGCTACCCAAAGAGTGTTTAAAAAAGGCTCTGAAAGGCCACTCTTCCAGTCTGCGCTACAACAGTACTGCGTCTTCTGCGGAAGCTTAGCAGTGTTTTTCAGGACTCGATTTATTGGGTGAAAGATGGGCATTGGATTCAATATTCTAAAATAAGAGAATAAACACAGTCGAATCTCATTATTTCAAACACAATTAATTCGAGCTTCCGGTTAATTCGAAGTCACGATGAGGTCCCGTCAAAGCTACATGTATTTTAATGGGCGAAAATGCCCGGTAATTCAAACGTCCAAGCACTTCCGACGATTAATTCGGACATATTGCGCTATGAAAATGCTCTCAGCACCCCGCCCATATCCATGGCGGCACCTGCGACACCTCAATGCTGCTTGCGAAGGAAATGAAAAGGAAAGAAAAGGCTGCGGTGGAATGTTTGCTCTCTCTCAAATGTCGATCTGTGACGTTCCCATGTCACGCTTCTCTTTTTTTTGTCCCTGCCACGTAAAGATCTTTCTCCTTTCAATGCCGCGCGCGAAGAGAGAGAGAGAGAGGAAAAAAAAAAGAGAGAGCTGTCGCAGGGTTGAATGAATGTGTGGTTGAAGGAAAGGAAAAAGACGCTATCTTCTGCAGCCCTTGCCCTTTGCGGAGCAGGGGGGGGGTCTCTCATGCGCCGCTGCCACGCTTCCCCCTTTCCCGTCCCTGCCACATAACCGTTCTCCTTTCAACGACGTGCACGAAAAAAAGCACTGTGAACAAGGCTTCCGTGTGGGGAGCCGAAACCTCCTTTTAAGTTTTGTGTATTTCACTTTGGTCGGCGTTTTGTTTTTGTTATTTTGCAAAAAGGAAAAAAACAAAAAAGCTGCCGTGGAGTGTTGGTTTTCTTTCAAATGCCGATCTGCTTCTCTCCGCGTGGGGACGATCCCTCTGTGCTGTCACGTGCTGGCCACGCTGCGGCTGCGTAGCGGAGAGCGGGTGGCTCCACTAGGTATGCAGTAGTTGTCGTCGTCTTTAGAAAGCGCCTGTGCTGGACATTTCCGCACGCAACTTCTCTTGACAGGAGAATGCTGAAGCCGAAGTAGAAATGCTTTGCAAGCTGCGTGCGATATTGATTGACTCGCTGCAAGGCAAACGTGTGCAGACGCGCGTCACCGATTACTTCAATTATTAACGGATGTCCTGTGATTTGTGAATAAATGTAAGTCTTCTGAAACTTCCCCCTCATGTGTAAGCTCAATGCACATGCACCACTGCATGAAGAGCCCTCTGTTTATTTAGCTTTTATTAATTCAAACTTCTTTTAATTTGAACAAATTTTCGGGCCTCTTGGAGTTCAAATTATCGAGATTTGACTGTACTTGTTCACACCTCTTTCAATGAAGTAATGTTGCCATTAGGTGTCATATTCAAAAGTATTTTAATCTACCTTTCTTGGAGAAGCACAAGGTCGTGTCATGGGCTTATTCAGGTGGTCTTTACGCGTTTTTTTTTTTTTTTGCAAAGCTGAGTGCACTGCTGGTATTCTTAGGTAGTTTTTATATTAGGCCCCCTGAAAGACCAAAGTGGTCCACAGTGGTCCCCTGAAAGTCGTATAATCGGGTTTCTACTATATAGTCGTAGTATTTTAAGCCGCCTGTCAGTATAGCAGGAAATACTCCTGTCCCATATAATTCAACATAAAATATTCACAAAATAGCAGTAAATTTATACAGTGCTTGTAGATAGCACTAAAATACACATATTTTCAAATCTCAATTCGCATGATAGCCAAGGACTTTTTAATCAGCCAGTCTTGGTTATCATATGCACACCGTTGTACAAATTAGGGGTGTTTCGATAAAACATAACGCGCTTAATTCCTAAATCGTGTTTGAGGCTAAATATTGCCCCTCACGCAATGCTATTTTGGGAAAGAAAACACCCCTCACATTTACCGATTCTGGATTAGACTAAAAGGTGTCTTGCCTGCCTGAAATCATTTTCAGTGTGCAAAATAGGTTTACAGTGTAGCCGAGAGGAGGAAGTTGTTTAAACAGCTTCAACTTCACGCTTCTGATTGCCATGAATATGGCTGGTTTAAGCTGACTTGAAAACTGTGCAGAAACGTTCCAGGAGTGTGTGAACAATCACGCTTGCAGACTCATTGACTTTTAATAGAGAACTAGGTGTCTGAACAAGCTTATCAACAGTATATCTGAAAAGCTAGATCAGATAAAAACTGATCCTAACCATAAACCAATGGCTGAAACCCTCAAGACTAGGTGTTATGTGCCTGTAATCAAGGACATGAGAAGACTGGACTGAAAATCAGTAATGTAAGCATTAATTATTTGATACTCTTGAGCACTTACAGTTCAAGTTCTGAATTATTAGACATAAAGCTACTAACTGAGTGATGTAATTTACGGAGACCTTGTAGTTATCTTGCAATTACAAACATCTTCCAATGTATCTTCACCCCCAAGTCAGAAGGCATAAGAAGCATAATAACAAATAAAGCAGTTGCTGTGAAGACTTGAGCAGTTTACTTTGCTGCCACAAAGTATATTACCCTTGCACGCAAGTATCGACGCAGGATTCTGTGTCCGCGGCCACATTCTGCCAAGCACAGCAGCACAGGAGTCAACTGCCGATAAAAGTTGGGCTTGGTTTCTACCTGGACAAAGAAAAATAAAGAATGTTTGGTGCCACTTGAACTTCTATTCTTGAATTAGTAGAGTAAAAATATATCGTCCTTTTGTAAAACTTTAAGCACAGCCATGTTCATTCTCTCTTCAGCCTCATAATGTGTGGGCTGATTTTTTCGCCATAGGATGAAATAACTGTGATGGGCAAGAAAACAAGCACAAAGAAAGAAAGAGACAGAATAAAATCTTGCCGAAAAAAAACTTCTCAGCACAGTGGGATATATCTGGGTAGGCATCACTAGGCATCCAGGAATGCCAACATAGCAAAGCCTTGCATATAGTAGAGTATAGGTGAAGAAGAGAAGTGAGGACCGGAGAGAGTAAAGCACAGTGTAGAGGGAAACGGACAGAAGCGAGAAATAAATAAGCCGAGACAAAAAGTGAGGAAGGAAAAAAAATCAATTTAGCACAGGCCTTAGTTTCACATCCCTCGATTGCTTGTAGGGACATACAATAGCTGGGAACTTGAGTTGAGATAACTCTACTGATTGTTCATTGTATTGCCAAAACAGATTTAGTTCTTCATCCTAAATGCAGATTACATTTATATTCATTCACTAAAAGTTACTTTTTTGACACTTCTCACGGTAAAAAGTGAAGATGCATTTGTTGGCAGCTAAAGTAGTTGCTTGGGCAAGTTGGTACAACATTATTCACATAAAAACAGTGCCAAAAATGGAGGACAAGAAAGAAAAGGCAGTGACTTACAAACAAGATTTATTTGCTGCAACAGTGCAATATATACTTGAGCAGTATCTGACAAATATATAAGGAACGACAAAACAAAGAAAACAGAATTCACCTAGAACCATGTCATCATCAAGACAGCGTGCCATGAACATCGCGTGTGCCAGCGTGCTGAAGAATACCTAGTTCTTTCTGAGATATAGCAATCTAAGGCCTGCCTACATTTACATTACCTAGCCTTGCCATTCTTGCAGCCTCATAAATTTCGTGTACCATCTGATCCCGATGATGCTTAACGACAGCACAACGTTGAAAGTTGGAAGAATAATCCGCAGTCTCAGCAATGAATGCTGAGGTGCCCCGATACCGGTAAAGAGACAATGGGAGCGTGCCCTTTCAGCCGCTCACTTAAGCACTGGCCTGTTTAGCCGATGTACTTCTTCCCGCAAGACAGAGGTAGAGTGAACAATACCCCTTCGATGCATGGAACAAACCTGCTCCAATGCTTGGTTTAGCAGGCTCGCTCTACCCTAAAACCAGGATTCAGGACCTTGCACTCCCCAGCCATTTTTTATGGGGCTGAAAAAACTTCTTCACAAAAAGTCTATTTCATACATGCTGGCCACATTATCGACTGCAATGTTTGTCCAAAATTCAGCTTTGTCCAAGCAATGTCCGCAATTCAGCTTTGCTAAAGTATTATGAGGGCACCACACCGAGACTCAGAAGAAGCCACTATCGCAGTGCAGTGCGACAATGTTTTTATAGACAAGCAATATTGCTCGGATGGTTGATGGGAGCAACGCAGCAAACGTGCCACTAAAACTTAATTGCTGACATGACTTTATGATAAGCATCCTCAGCTAACTGCTCGATATTGTATAAGGCCTACAGGATTTGTAAGCATGCTGTATGATTTTAATCGGCGACAATACAAATGCGCCGCTTCACTATTTGAGTGAGACTGCTAAGTTCAGTGCACAGGCGCGTTGCCTTCATGAATGAAAGCAGCTGGCCATCCCTGCACTTGCGTGCAGTAAAGATTGTAGCAAAAAACAGTGCAAGAAGCCAGGAACGAAGTGAGTAAACACACTGGCCTTACAGTGGGTATCAAGAACACTTTTATGACAAACGCGTGCATGCACAGCAAATGCCCCAGCAGTGACAAAATCAGCTTGGCTTGCGATGTGCTGCACACAGCCAGGAACGATCAACTTCATGTGGCAGCAAATGCGGTGTGTTTACAGAGATTTACACGCATTGATTGATATGTGGGGTTTAACGTCCCAAAACCACCATATGATTATGAGAGACGCCGTAGTGGAGGGCTCCGGAAATTTAGACCACCTGGGGTTCTTTAACGTGCACCCAAATCTGAGCACACGGGCCTACAACATTTGATTTACACGCATCATAAAAATCCAGACGAAACGTTCGTTCATTCAGCACAGCTTATGAGTTCCTCGCAATAATTTTCGGACGTTCCATGTGATAATGCATTCACGAGAGCCCACACATGCACCAAACTGCCAGATAAGTATACTGCAAGGCACTGAAGCTATACTGGACAATGCTAGGGTGATTTGACTACTTGAGTGCAATAAAAAGGCATGAATTCACTTTTTTCGTCCTATTTCGTGATCCCTAGGTAGTCCGAAAATTCAGACGTCGACTGTATGACAGTATCGAATGAATTTTGGCTTACATTGTCTAGGTTTGGCTTCGACTGCATTGTATGCTGGCATAAGCTAGAAAGGTTCTCCTAGTGTTGGGAAAGGGCACCTTTTGCTTAAGCGCCAGTGAAACAAGTCACTGCAGGGCTAGACTGCACGGGCGCGCTTCTTTTCTTACGGCCTTTTCACCCATTGTGAAAACAATGAGAGTTTTTCAGTATGTTTCGCCACCTGTCACCAGTAGGGGCATAGCTACCCTGACCTTGCTAAGGCCCCTGTATTTTTAAATGTGGGATGGATGAGTAGATGATCTCTTTTATAAAAGTGCGGGCGCATGTGTGCAACCAGGCTCGAAAGAAAAACAAAAACAAAACATTCTTTTCATGTTGGCCGAATGACTTATCTACTTTAATTAAGGGCACAGGGTAAGCAAAAATATTGAAGAAAGTCATCAGTTTTTTTCTTACGTTACTTAAATTCTACAGCCTTTTCTGAACCAGAATCAGTCTTTAGTTTGTCTCAGTAGGTTGTTTTTTTTTTCTCTAAAAATGACTTATTTCAAGACTTGTGCTGTGACCTGCCGTGCACCCATGCTAACGAAGCAAGCGATTCCTTGCAGTTGAAGCATCAAAACCATATAGAGAGATTACAATTTGCAAGCTGGAGTGGACTTTGTACAATCAGAAAAGATTGGGCCCACAGCTGTGAAAAGAAAAAAAAGCAGAGGCATCAAGCTTTCTGTCAGTAAATGTATATCTAGTCGAAGGCATCTTAGTAGTGCCATACTTTGTAAGCACCATAAATATTATATTATTGTTTTGCTATTGAAAGAAATAGAGCCAACTAAGAGGACACGGGTAAGAGGACACATATTTTCGCATGGTACCAGGCCATACAATAGCCTTGCCCCGCCGCGGTGGTCTAGTGGTTAAGGTACTCGGCTGCTGACCCGCAGGGCGCGGGTTCGAATCCCGGCTGCGGCGGCTGCATTTCCGATGGAGGCGGAAATGTTGTAGACCCGTGTGCTCAGATTTGGGTGCACATTAAAGAACCCCAGGTGGTCTAAATTTCCGGAGCCCTCCACTACGGCGTCTCTCATAATCATGTAGTGGTTTTGGGACGTTAAACCTTACATATCAATCATACAATAGCCTTAGTCCAAAGGATGCTGAAACTTGGTGTGAATTCTACTAAGCTCAGTTGAATGGTGAAACATTCTTTAATAAAGAACACCTTCCCATATCTGTTATTCGGGCTGTTAAGCCAAATTATCCAGAACTGGCTCATCCAGAATCACTGGCTAAATGCCTCTATGGGAAAAACTCAAAATCCTAACGAGCTGAACTGTTGTGTGGGAGCACACTCCAGAAAAAACATTTTACTTAGACACTAACCACTGCAAATATGCACTCTTGATACTGTGCTATCTTTTCATGGTGGAAAAATAGCCAATATGAACGTGCTGAACTCTTCTGGAATTTCGCCAGGGCACTGCGCAGTGCAGTGCCTACACACTCTTAACCTGCCTCGACAGTACTTTACTGACAGGGCTACACAGTACGCGACAAATGAGGCTCGGCGGGCAAGACGTTTCAACACAAAAATAAACAATGATATTGGTGATGAGTATATGGCTTCTGCCTACTTAACAGGCTCATCCGTTTGCTGTTATCTCGTACTTTCGAAATAACGCACATTTTGAACTTAGTATGCGATTATCTCAAAACTTGCTTTTATTCAGATTTTTTGTACTTACGTTCTTTTACCACAGCAACCACAGTATCTACAACCACAGATTTCCGTCAATGTTTATATAATGTGATAAGCAATATGCTGAATCAGAATCATTGTCGTGTGAGGAAGTGCTCTTTTTCAACACGACATCTAATAGCTATTAATTACTAATAATTTGATACCAGAAGTAAAAATGAACAAAAAAATGCATTACAATTATCAGCACTAAATCTGCTTCAGTAAAAAGAAGAAAGACTTATAATCGAAATGAAAATAATATAATTCCCGTAACTCTCATTGTTATAAAGACAAAAGTACATAAACTTTGCCTAAAATACATGGAGGCTATAGGGCTTATCCTATCCCCTTAAAGTGATCTTAATATAAGAGTCACTTGTTGGGCAAGTTGGTACATACTTAGGGAACTACGAAAGCCACAAAACGTCGAAATCGGAAAAACTATAAATTCACAGTCTCTCTCTCTGTCTCTTGAGGCAGAATTACCTAATTTTTTCCACTATTTGTCTCCTATATGTCTATTTTTCTGCCACTAATACTCTAACTGTCTCTTACTTGCTTCTATCGTAAACGTGTTCAACATTGATGGAGAGTGCATGCTCGCTTATATGAAAAAAATTCAAGGGTTTTCAAGGACTTTCAAGAATATGTGTGCGAATTTTCAAGGACCACATTGTCTGTTAAAAACCATGTTCAGGGGAAAATGAAAACTTGAAGGTGTCGTGAGGATCCGAGGCGTGCCCGCGATCATTTCGCGGGCATTCCGCTGCACGGCCACACCTTTTTGCTTTTTCTGCTCTGGCAACGGTGCGTGGCGATAGATGGCGCCATGTGTGGGCGCGGCATGGATTATATGC